GGACGTTGATCGGAGGTCAACTACATGGAGGAATAATTGCTGCAATTTGCACGAAGCGATCGACTGTCACTAGTGGGTGGGGGCGAAATTCAGTCTCCACCCGGCGTCGAGGTCGGCCACGTCTTCTGACAAAATAGCATTGGGTTAGCTAGCCATATAGTCACTGCTTCAGCCGTTGCAAGCACCCGTTGGCGTGGGCCCTTGGAAAAGTAAGCCGGTGTCCGGTAGACAACATAATCATATGATCAACACTCAAATTATTAGTGCATATTGCTCAGTCCAGAAAGTACAACTGGCATCACTTCCACTCCCGCACTTTTGGTAGAAATAGACTAAAACTCTCTGTTGACAGACAAACGTGAACCTCCGTTTGGCTTTTTTCAGTATTAAGACGTCCAATTTGTACCGCAAATTAATTATATTACTCAGAAGCTTGATTATAAATAATCGAAAAAGTGGGTTCGGTAACTTCAGATCTTTCGAAAATCAGTTTGACTTGCGACGTCCTCGATTTCCCGGCAAATTCGCAGGTCCCTTGTTAACTGCGTCCATAGACGCACATGCTTCCTATCACGATTTTGGCTTTCGTTGAATTTCGATTGCCAACAGGGCAGCACATCGAATCCTTATGATGTTACTATAAATACCGAATCTATCCAGGTTAGTAACTTGCTCAAATTTGTTCCAAAAAGAGAATGTCTCAGAACTATAATCATTGAAGGTGTGTCCAACTTATATCTTACGGGGGCGGGACCCGCAATGGACTCACTGTCTTCGGCGAAAACTACATGCCAGTTCGTTCATGCCCACGGACAAGCCGCCCACGCCGTCGGTTCGAGCAAAGGTTATGACCGCCTACAGACGCGCGGTGCACATATCCTGTTAGAGTACACTTTATGGGAATTGGCCAATCAGCTTGTGGCACGCTGCTGGTATACATTTTCCCAACTGTCCCTTCGCACGCCATACGCCAGGAGTGTTCTTAAAATACCAAAATCTAATAAATACGTTAGACTGGACTAGCTAAAAAATCCGGAGTTTATTTGTTGTCTTGAATGGGGAATACGAAGTCGTTTTGATCACTGGAATCCTATTATTATTTTTCTGGGCTCTCGAGTTCTTATGTGAGACCATCGTTAGAGATAAGCGAGCAAGATTTAATGGGGCAGGAACCAATCAACTGTTACAGGGGAAGGGGGTTAAAGAGGAGGGGGAGGAAACTAATTAAGACCCAGAGTCGAACCTGCGGATAGGAGTGCGCAAGGCGCTGTATGTGGACGCCAGCTCAGACTACCGGTAGACTGAGTCGTCATGCGAGGTCCAGGCTTCAATTAACTCTCGTCCTGTCTTGATGCCAGCGTGAACAATTATCCTCGCGACTGCGAAATTAAATTCATGGCAGCTACTTGCGTCAACGCGTCAACGCGTCACCGCATCTGACAGCCAGCGTATGCTCGTGTATGTGTGAACCAAGCTTTTGTCCAGTCAGTCCGGTGTAATTTTGAGAACAGTTTAAACATGGTATGCGATAAACTACGTCCGACCAGTGCCTACGAGTAGTTAGCTGTGCCTTAGCCATCCCATCATCAGCATTGGGGAATCCCGTATTATTTTCAGAAGCATTACCTGGGCAGTTTTGTGGATTTTATCTTCCCACTAGATTTGCAAGTGGTTTTGGCTGCATCGCGCTGGACGTTTCACGGTCGAAACCGATTACCTTAGTGCAAAGGGGATGAAGGCGTGATCACTGGCATAGCATTTGCATAGCATTTGCATTTCTCCCAACTTTCGGCCGCATTAAAGAGGGCGTTCTCAGAACCAACGCGAGTGCAGCGAGAATTGACTTGCTTTATAGCACAACTACGAGAAAAAAAAGCAAATTGGAGGGGTGGGGTGGGGTAGGGTGTATGGGGGTGCATTCACGGTATGTTGAGCCCACATCACGTTCTCTCACGTCATCGTCACTGACTGCGTGCTTTGACAGGAAGTGGGCCACAGTTCTTGGCCATGTGCGAGAGGGGAATGACAGCAGAGACTACATCATAATGTCTGGGAGAATGCAGTGGGCAGTTTGGTGTCCATTCTAAACAAACACCCTCGGTTTTGCCGTGTAGTCTAACGGACAGCCAGTAGGCAGGCAGCGAACCACGCTCAAGGCAGGCTATCGATCCACTTTCACGCGCGAAGGCAGACTGGAAAGCAATCAATCAATAGCTTCATATTTAAAACTGCGGCCAGGCTAAGACTCTGACAAGCCAGCCATTGAGTCACAGGCCAATCATATCACAACTCGTGCCAGGACAGTATCTGATCGGCCCGATGGACATGGTTGTACACGTGTTTGTTACCTTAACTATTTTGTATTAATTACGCTAAAAGACTTCTGCATTTGCCCTGTTCTTGTCGTGTTCTTTCTTGGGGGCTTACAAAAAACGTAATCAGGCGATTACCTCTCGGCTTTGGCTACCGTAACAACAATTGGCGACGCAGGTGAGATACGTCTGTGTTACCACGCACATTGCATGAAAATAACTCACTGATGACCTATCTTTGGTAATACGTGAAGTAATACCTCGTTCACAAGAGAGATGTGATATGATATTGACACATTTTGATAGATGCTCCAAATAAATTGATTGGGGTTCGACCTGAATTTAGGCGGCTGATTTTTTTTGAAAACGCCAGTCTCGATTCGCGACAGGATGCCGGAAAGCGCGTTTCCGCGAGGGCAGGGTGAGTGACGCAAGGAAAACCATACGGCAAAGTCCAGTTGAAACTTCGTGAAGATATTGCTCAAACATTTCTGGTAGTTGCATAGTTGGATCACGTCGGGGTCACCAATTGGTTGTGTCTATCAGTAGGAGTACAGAGATTATAGACATCGCCAAGCAGAATCCGGAATTGTTGGGAAAGACAGAAGGCAGCAAAATGACGGATTTATGGTGCATAGGAGCCTGGGTTGCCGTCTCCGACAGTAGTTTCCAATTGAGAAGCCAGGGCTAGTGTTGGCTGCGTCCTGTCATGTCTGAGGGAGAGCGAAACAGCGAAGCAGTAAGTTCAGGGTCATCAGTCGACCGATGACGCCCTGCGGCAGACAGGCCAGTCGTTCAACGAATTAGTTACGCATGCTAAAAGTAATGCCACCGACGCCTCCAACCCACAACCTTAAAATCCAACTCACTATTCAGCATATGCACACTCTCGGTAAGAATGCTGCGCCGAACCCAAGGCATCAACAATCCCATAACCCCATCTGCTGTCTGTGTAAACGCTAGCATCATAAATCCCGCATCCAATTCCAAGGCAAGCACCACGCCCACTACAGGTTATGACACGCCAAAGGCCCTCCCGTGGCGGTCAACGTCGTTGACCACTAACTCCTGTCACGACCCACGCGAGGAAAACTACGACGATGAATACCGTCGCTCTCACTACTGCCACCGATTAAAACACTTCTGACGTCCCGCCACAACCTCCTCTGAACAACACTAAAACCATGAAATCGATCCCAAGATGTCCTCATTGCGATCGCACATTCAACCTGGTCGGTCACTTGCGAATCTATCCTGAGGGACCTATCGGGGGGAGAAGGTGTTGAGGATAATAAGGTTAACCCTAGCGGCTACAACCGCACAACCGCAAGCCAGCGGATGGCGTCTGAAGTGATGTCTGCTCGGCAGTCGTCACGTGAGGTTCCGTGTGACTCAGCCCGTGAGTGGCTGCTTTAGATGCCTGAAGCAGTAAGCGTTCTCAAAATACACTTTAACTTGAGCTAATCCCAAGAAGCGTTCACACGTGCACTTTGTGAGGAGTTAGTCACTACTGACCGGCGAACCAGTGACACGAGCCCTGGCATACAATAAACGCACCCGCCTTCTATTTCTGCACTGTTCACGGTCATTCATTCAATATATGATCCCACTTGGCTAAGTATCTATTCGCATGAGCGGAAGTGATCGCAATATTGCCAAACCAAGCACATTGTGCACGCCCAACAACTCTCCCAACTCTAAACCTATCCTGCGTACGCTATGACTACGCATGCATATCACGCATCCGTCTTGTCGTTTAATTGCAAATCCATTGCATAGATACCGTTGAACGCCTGTCAGTAGCACTAAAGTAGCTTTGACACAGTCACCTCATGTGATGACACTTTCTAATTAAATTTGTACGCGTTCCCGAAAAAGCGCAGTACACACTACCGTTGGCGATAACTGATCCGTTAGGACGGTCCAGCTGCCACGCCTGACAAAGAAACGCCAACCCGCGGATGATTGGCGTTCAGTAAAAATAAATCACATCCCCCAAAGAAACCTCTACTTTTGCTCACAATCATTTCGTTCATTTCCCGCGCTACTGAAACTTGCAGAACGGGTTTACTTGGACATAATCATGCCATTATCCCACGATTTTTCCAATACTCAGCAATTTGCACATAGGACCAGGCGATGTACCCTAGGCACAGTTGCTCTTTTAGTCCATTCTGTTCTAAGAGATTTGTGGCGGACAGCCACATCACCTGTCTCCCCCTTCGTTCTCCAAGGCTCGCTGCCCCAAAGACGTGTCGTCACAAACAACTGTTACAATGCTTTCTTTCACTGGCGCCCCTGTCCCCCGAGGCTTGACCTCGCAGCTCCTTCTGGCTCACCGATAACAGCTGTGTCAGCATCCCCAGTCCTTCGGCGTACCAGCGGTTCGGACAGTTGACCTGAACGTATTCACTCACGTGCGCACACACCCGCGTATACACGTGCGTCCAAATAAGCGCGCCTGCCTAAGAGCCACTTGACTAAGACATCCCTCGGCCGATGCAGCAAAGACCTTTGCAAGCGACATCACCTCGGGCAACTTGCAACACACCAGTAACAAACCATTTGAACTCGCTTCACAGTCATGTAAAAGCAGCTGTCATCACCCCACAAAAAACTCAGTCGACTCTCTAAGGCCAGGCTGGAGGCAGTCAGGACCAGTGGCCACTGCCAGTGGCCACTGCCACCTGAGGCGGTAACTCAGGGCTCTGTACTCAATAAAACCCTCATTCTGGTGACACTTGCCTTTTTCTTCCAACCAGGGATTCAACATTATTGTAGTGACCCGATTACAACTGTTACTTAGATCGCTACAGATTTAAATAAGGATTTTGTGTGTAAGCGTGTGCATTTCTTGCCTACTCTTCAGCGTTTAATACGCTCACACACCATCTTCGCCTTAATAAAACGTCTGCATGCGGCTCTCCCGGTTGGGCTGTCTTTTGGCTTGGAGACTATTTCACTCCTCGCACTCGGACCTTTAATATATCAGTTTACCCACTTGGGTGCCCCTGAAAAGTCTTTTGCTAGAATCTGCAAGAATTGAAAATGAGGAGAAGAAAAGCACTGACATTGCTAACGGGCCAACCATTTTTGTGGGCGGTATCAAGTATCCATTATCCTTGGACACCATCAGGGAGTACTTTTCACGTTTCGGATGTGTTGCCGAGGTGAGACAGGCTCTTTCGCCTTATGACGGTGATCAACTAGCCTATGGCTTCGTCACCTTTGCGAAGAATACCGATGTAACCGTGATTCTGGCCTCGAAGCGACACAGTGTCGACAGTGTGAACGTCGACGTTCGACCATACGACCGTTCAAAATATCCCCAGACAAATTGCATCAAGCTTTAGTGAGTCCTAGTTCTTGCGTATTTTATGCTTGTACTCGTCGTAACCACGTCAATTCTACAGTCAGATAGGATGTTGATGAAGGTGATCCTTGTCACCTAGAACGTTCAAATAATGTGCTGTTTTATGGAGTGTTAGCCGACATTCTGATAGCAGTGATAACCTAAGAAGGAGTTGTAAGATTTTTTAACTTTCAGTCTACTTTTAAGATATTTTACTCCCCTCAGAATGCCTGCTTTTAAACAAGTTTTTTTGGGTCACCTGCCAAAATTACACTAAGTCAAAATCGAATACATACATGATACTCATTTGCTCATTGATTTTTGATGCCTTTATAAAGACAAACATATTTTATAGAAAACATGCAAACATGTATATTCTTTTAACGCACTCATTCCGTGGTCAAGTCATGTAGGTCAGCGTGTCCGTAAGCGCTGACTGAGGTATTGGATGACCTTGAGG